GCCGCAAAAACGTGTTGGAAAACTGCGCACTTCTCGGCGCTAGCACGGATCGGGGCCATGTTTGTTTACATCCGACCGCGTCCGAGCATTCCCGAATCCAGCCGAACCGCAGGTCACCGTAGAACACGTTATTCTCTAAAATACTGCATATGCCCGGTCACGATTTGACAACTGTCAATAGTGCAACAAAAACACCTTAGACATACGTAACGTTTATACTTTTTCATATCTACAGGATTTGCCTAGTACAACAATGTAGATATTTCGTGCATTACAAAATGACACCGATCATTATGGCCTTCCAAACATTAGCATTTTTGGTCAGTTTATCTGTGCTTATCTTTTTTTACTGGCCAACTGGATCCCATTAGCTAATACCACAGTGTGATAGCCCACATCTTCACCTTTACATCGATACCAAAGTCCCCTGGTTAGTTTTAGGACAAACGGGTTTGCCCCAAAGAAAACCGCGACGGTGCACACATCGCGGTGACGAAATTTTAGCCCAGTTGGCGCACACCATTCTGAGTTTCCGCTACATTTTGATACATTTAGCGTAATGTCATAAACTTCGTTTCTTGGTATGAGAAACTGTATGAATGTGGTTACCACATGCAATATGATAAGTGACATGATAACTTTCAAGTATATGCAAAAAGAGGATTTTAGATTAGGTACTGACCCTTCAAAAATTGGCAAATTTGAAGTCAATCGGCTTCGAACTCCAGCGTTCGAAAGCGTTCGAACCATGGAACCCAGACACGCGCCGGAAGTTGCCGAAGATTTCCGAACGAAAACCGTTGTTTGTTTACATTCTATTTATTGTGGCACAAATAAATACGTCTGGCCTTGCGCAACTTATTCTCGCGCTGCGCTGAGTTGCCGAAAAGGCGAAATAGCGACGCTAATACGTTGAAAGTTATCGAAAATGACAATCTACATGAGAAAATTTCAATTATTTGTGTTTTCAGTTTTGGCGCGAAAATCCTACATAATATCACTTTAATATTTCAATAATGGTTTCATCGGTAACAAGGGGTAGTTGAATGTTGATACACAAGTACGTAGCTTTGTTGTCCTTTACTACTATACGAAATGCGCCGAACACTTTAGGCCATGTTGATTTGATTATATGGATGACATCCGCGCGCGCATGAATTTTCGGCCGTTTCAAAACAAAAAAAGAGTTTTCAACCATACTGTAAATCGTGCAAAACAGTTGCTAAATGAGCAAAAATATACCATAAATTGCAAGGAAAACGTTTTAGAAACGATACCAATGTCGTAGAATGCCAAAATCAAAGGAAAAAAGACAAAAATGTAAAGAAATGAATTCGAAGAGTAGATTATTCGCCATAACATATTCTGTGCCATTTGTTCAACCTTCATGACCATGACCAGATTTCATAGTGAAAGCAACTTTTTTTTTTGCAAAACTTCTTTTTTATTCGCACGCGCGCATCAGTTTTGGGGTTCCCAGAGGATGTCATCCATATATTTAAATCAACATGGCCTTAATAGGGCCCGCCCGATCGACCCATGAAGAGCAACGATCATCGAGGCGGAGAACTGGGCAGAGCGTTGATGCTACTGTGGGTGTAGAAGTGCTACCGTATTTAGAATTTGAAACTGCAAAAGGCTACTGGGACTTGCGATCACGGCGGTCTGTCACTACTGCATTCTTTCCCATTGCTATGCGCGTTCTAAAAGGTATCGGGTTACAACACGCTATTTTGGCCTGTTTTGGACTACCCGTAAAATATTTGAAAATGCACAAATAATATTTAGGGGTAAATTTCGTCAAATTAAAATGAAATTATCGTCTTAACATCCTTTAAATGTTAGCTTTTTATGTTAAATCAATGATTTTTTAAAATTTCGCTCAGAAAGACGATTATTTTCGGGTTTCCGAACACAAGTCATGTCACGTTTTTAGGCAAACATCGTTCAAACCTGGCTACGTATATTACCCCAGATCCCCGATTTTTATATTTTTCGCAGACTAGGAATAAGACAAAAAATCGTGTTTTAGGGATTTTTTAATTTCTGATTTTAAGTCTAGTTTTTGTCGACATATTGGTGAAAAATGGCTATTTTTTTTACATTTTTCTCACTAAATTACCCATAATTCAAAATTGAGGCCATTTTTCAAAAATCCCTAAAACACGATTTTCAGGACAACCGTTACAGTCATTTTGAGCCGTAAATGGGGTATGTTTGACTCTCCATGTTTCCAGGTTTGAACGAGTTTTGGAGACATGTCATATCGCCAGAAAGTGTGCATTGTGTTATTCATACTGGTGTAAAGAATCATTACAGTATTCAAGGTCACTCAAGGATACGACAGTAGCTTCGCTACATGTTACATGTCCACCAAAAATAATAGCGGACATGCACTGTCCTGGAAACTGTTTGTATCTATAGAAAAGTGTTGTTTTTTTATCTGTTGCAATGCACGGAGGTAGAAAGGCTTGTTTTGCCGCTTTATAGTAAATGACCGCAGGTGACCCCGAAATAGAACGCGGGTTCGATTCGAATTCCCCAGATCGAACACGATCGAACACAGTTCGGGTTCTATGACATGTGGGAACTTTTCAGCCCAGATTTTACCACCGTGGATTTATAACAGGGGTGAGTGAAAAGTTTGACTGCGTTTCAAATAATCTCTCGTAATGTGATAGTTTGATGTTTTTGTCACAAAATCTAAGGAATAATGTACACTTCAAATATGTATTAATTTGTACTCCGTAAAACTGAGTCCGTTCAGAGGAAAGAAATACTTCCTTCTCGGGGCCAAGGTTCTGGAAAGCTGTCCTCAGCGCTGCCACGGCCCTCTCTTCGTTCTTCAGCTGTATGTGTACTTTGCAGGGGAAAAGGATCGGCGTGCACAAGACAACGGGCGCAGCATGATTCAAAGTTTATTTTATATTTACGCCCTTGTTCACGCCGATCAAAAGAAACTGTGACAATTCGGTACGTGCAGGCCCGTGCACGTGGCGACACAGGCTGGCTTCCCGCTCTAGCTGTGGGTTCCCACGATGTGTTGCCAAGGGCAGCGGCACGTACACAGACCTACCGGCGGATCCCACCCACCGGGCGGCGGTAAGATTTTCAAAGACTACATTTATAACTCCGCCCCTATCATTGTTGCGTGCCGAACAGTCGAGTACATCTAACTGGCATTTTTACGTCGTACTGACACATACAGCCCGCTACAAAGTAATTTCCTGTTGCATTTAACGATTTAAAAAGAGTTGTGATACGAAATGAAATATTGATAACAATTTATGTTATTATTAAAGTGAACCTTTGTAACGGCATGGATCATCTTTGTTGAATATTTCTGAGTTCAACTCAAGCCGGAAGTGCATTAGAACCTACCATCAGTCCAGGTGCAACAATTATGTTATCACGTTACGTTACGACGATCAAGAACGTTCACGGCTTGCGGACCATTTCAAATATTATAATTTTATAATGGAAAAAAATCTTACGTGGGTTTATATTTTCGGCCGGAGTTCCACGAGATCGGCGCCGGCTGGCTCGGGAACGATCCCATCGGCATGACGGAGATTCCTCTCTCCTTGCAGAACTAGTTTGGGAAACACTTTGGGATCGTCGTCATTCTTTGTCTATGTTCTACAAAATTGTTCACGGTAATATCCGCCAGCATCTTGAAGACCTAATTACTCCTGAAGTTGCCGTTTCTGTCTGTTACGACCTTCGTAATAAGCACAACCTTCGGCTGCCATGTTGATTGATTATATGGATGATATCCTCTGGGAACAGCATTATGATGCGAGCGTGCGACTAAAAAAAGTTTGGAAAAACCTTTCCTTCATCATGAAATCTACGTGCATTGTCATAAAGGTTGAACAAATGGCTTAACACACAGAGTATGTATGGTATGGCGAGTAATAATAGACTGGGGTCCGGTCCATGAACTTGGAGTTAACTTCATGTAACTCTGAGTGCATCTCCCGTAGGCGGCAGAGCGGTAAACGTTAACTTCATGTAATTCTGTAAAGTTTAGTCCCAAGTTACTCCCAAGTTACCACCCCGCTCGTTTGGTGAGTCTTTGAATGTATTGTGTTTCTTTAAAACCCTTCGGATTTGTACCCTGATAAATCTCAAAATTTTACAGTAAGTCACGAGAAAATTCAAACATTGGGTTGACCTTATTGGAAAACACATGGTTCCGACACCCTTCTGAACAGTCGAATCGCGGGGAGCGATTTCTACCGAAAATGACCGAAATAAAACATGACGTAATGCTTGCAACAGCATGCGGTTGCTGATTGGTCAAATGTTGTCAGGGGTATTAGGGTTGCCGCCTGCTAGCAGAAGCCGGAAGTGAATTCCGCTTCCAAGGATCGAGATGGACTCCAGTTCAATTTTCCAATCGTCCCGAAACGTAACAAATCTACTTTCATTTCGACATCGGGACAGTAGTAACGAACACCTAATTTCTTATTTCCTGCGAAACATACCTTCGCTCTCACTGCGCTCAGACAGGCAAAGAAGGTTATCTATTACGTTATAGTGTAGCCTTCTTGGATAGGCGAAAGTAGGTCAATGGCTTGAACTTTTCACCCTTTTCACCCGGTCTGTTTGCTGTGTCAGGGAAACAGTTTTCTCATCTCAATATTACAATTAAAATAATCAATGACATTTTGTATTCACCAATCAACGGTCCCAGACTATAGGACGCCCCCTAGTTACAATGTCTAAATAATGATCGATGTAAGTCCCGACTTTAAAAGGGACAACTGCCGGCTCGGAGGTTCAGAATGGAGTTTGAGGACACCAGTTGCCAGAACTCTCCCGGGCCCCAAAGCTTTTGGTTCCCGCCGGGCGCGGGGCGCGGGGCCCGGGCACTTTCCACCGGCCGGGGCTCCGGGCACGATCTCCACTGGCCGGCACCGGCGGCGCAGCACCGAGGAATTACCGGGGAGCTCCGCTGGTATGGTCACCGGACTAGACAGGGGAAGCGCGCCGCCGCAGCCGGCTTGGTCAGCGTGGATTTTTACTTGGAACAAAATAGGTAAGGTCTTAAACTTAGTTGGTTTCTAAGATCTGTTTGTTATAGTTTTACACTGTTTACCTGGTTACCGGTCACAAACCGTAGAGGTACAGAGGAACCTACGAAGGACCGGTTGAAGCTATTAAAAATGTATGCTTTAATGTTACTTCCTAATGTTATAAATGTGCCATAATCGTATCAGTCTAAATTTTGCAATCACAGCCGTGTTTTTGCAGTGTCACGTCTGCTAGTTGTTGTACTAGTACCCAGTCTCTATTTTTTTTCTGTACGAGACTTGTATGTACTTCGTGTTCTGTATATGTATGTTTAGTAAACTTTCCCCTATTTCTGTTCGGAATTCTTGGTATCTTTCAAGCAGACTTTTTCTAGATTTCTATAACTTTTTCTATGTTATTCTGGTGTTCTTGGATCTCGCTATGTTGTCGTCATGTCCCAGGGTATTTCCTTATTGTGGTTCTAAATGGGACATCACTATGTGTGCTATTTATCACCGACAAAGATTCAGTCCTATAATTACTGCCATGGAGGAACGGTTCTACTAACCCTAGTACATGTATCACTCGCAGTGGTTTTGGGAAATTTTGGTGAGTTCGCTTTTACGATAAGAATTACAAATTATTGTTTACGGATTCGATGGCCGGGCAGAGTATCCATCATAGTCAGCGTCATAGTCAGCGTGACTTGAACGTTTTATTTGTGTGATGTTAGAAATTAAGTTCTTGGTTGTGTCTTCAAAGTTCCGGTGTCAGAATTTGGGTGTTGTTATATCATGACTGATCGATACGTCATTGTTGATCACTGACTCGGAGTTAGAGAAAGTTTAAAGTTGCTTGTTGGCTGGTTACCGCACGAGTGGAGAGAAGTTGGAATTTAAGTTTATTACGCATTAAAAATGTGTGCCACTTGACGTTAACTTCCACCGGGATCAAGTTTTTCGGCTTTACTTGATATTCTCGGACTCCTCTTTCCGACAAAACCCTTGTGTTCAAATGAGTGGCTTAGGGATATTTTGCAGGCCCCAGCCAAACTCTGCTGATATGTCAGATCTTTCCAGCTGGCCTTTCTAATCATTGTCGTCCTGTAACTGACCCGGTAAAATACCCCTGGGCGGGCGGGCAGTGCTGACTTCACTCATCTTGTTCTTTGTGTGGTTTATTCCGTCCATTTTGCTTGCAGAATTTGGTCAGTATTTCATTACAGATCCAGCTGGTTGTCTTTATCAGGAATCGACGATCAGTGTTTTAGTGAATTGTTTTTAATAGCTGCTCGTTTTTAGCTGCTGGTTTATGTAAAGTTTGAGCCACCTGACGCCAAGTTCCGCCGGGGTTTTCCGGTCTTACCCTCAATTCTCTACGTCAAGGCTCTTCTGTCCAGTAACCCCGGGCGTTGTTTTTCTTGTCTTTCCAGTAAACCTCAGACATGCAGCGAGGGATACCCTACTGTTCTACACTGAACACCGGTGCTGGCATATAAGGTTATGCCCTGTCCGCGCTAAACTGCCCGCACCTGCCAACGACTCGGGGTTCCGAACAGTGGAGACCATCTCAGTGCACGGAGAAGGTTTCAGTACGTCATATACTCATCTCTAGGTCAACGCAATTCACACAATTGCAAGTTGATATTATTTCCGCGTATTCTGTACATATGTGTAGTTTACCTGCTGACATCCCAACATAATAAGGTTCAAGTTTCACTATGCTGAATAACGCGACCCTAGCATGCAACAAACTTCGCTAACCAGTACTACATTGTTTCTTTCAGCTCTACATGACGACAAACACAACAGTTACTCAAGAATACAATCAAAAAGTGGAACAAAATACCAGGTGAGTGCCTAACCATCCTTATTTTATGCAATAGTGTTCATAATCACGATGGTTAAGCAATGTTCGCATCTCTATATAGTACTTCTTTCACAATAAGCTGTGTGACTTTTGAAATACGGTAACATGTTTACTATGATGTCATTGCTGGGAAAACAGTGTAGCCTGGGTGCCAGGCCCTGTGACACGATACTCCATTCAGTCGGGGAAACCACCCGCCCGGAACCCAGAATACATACTCTAGATAAATTGAAGAAGGATGCCAGCTCCGAAACTGGGGCGTGTTGGGCGATATAGATGCCCGATCGAGAGACTCAGAAAAAAAAACACTTTCTTTCTCCTAAGCGAGGAGGTAAGCTCCTTGTTCTAAGTGCTAGGGTCTGGCACATATGCTAGTCATAATGAAATTATATATATTACCTGGCAGCAGAAAATCTCACACGGCATGTATACTTCATGATGTCGCAAATTTCATTGCCAGAAAAGGGTGTATTTATGTGTCCGCTTCATTGCATTCTTTTAATTAATCGACTCACATTGCATATTTACATTTATGTGTAAAGCATGACCCCAAATCTTGTTGATTTAACCCTACCTAGACCGGGGGGGGGGGCTAAAAGTGCCCGCGGCAACTTTGATGTCACCTAGCGTCTGAACGGTTAGCCGTAGAACGGCCAAACTTGGTGACTTTTCCTAGAATATTGTTGGCAACAATTCTCTATCATTGGAATAAGATAATAATTTTTTCTGTTGCCATGGCAACGGATTTCTGACAGGCATTTTTTGCTAAATTTAGTACTTTTTGATTCAACAATAGAATTTTATGGGTTTTATGTCAAGTTACTCATGGTTTCTAATATTAATAACATCCCATATAATTTTATGTAAATTTTATCATTAAATATGCATAATTTATGCTAATTTGATGACGTCATTGGCCAAAATCCAAGATGGCGGACCATATCATTAGAACAGGTATATACAGGTTATTTTCATTAAATTTTCATCAATACTTTCATTTCTTTTTCCAAAAAAGGTTTAAATGAAGGTCTTCAGTATGTTTACAATGTATTTTAGGCTTTATCATGAAAAAAAAAATATTGTTGAAAATTCAAGATTGATGATCCAAGATGGCGGATATCTTAAATATGCATGAGGTCATTTTATGACGTCACCGGTGTTGCTATGGGCAACATAAGACTTAGTACACCATAATATTCTGTCATAAACACTTTTGGTACAGTTATGTTAAATACCATTTAGTTTTCAGGGAAAAACCTATTTAGACGATTTTGGCCAATAAAATCACATTAATGACGTCATAATGACGTCATATTACGTCATAACGACATAAAATTGTAGATATGATAATTTTACTAGTACACCATTCTCTGAAAATTTGGTGGTCATACGACATACCGTTCGCGATTTCGTTAGGGGGGGTCAAAAGAGCCCCCCCCCGGTCCCCCCATGTCAAAAAAAGCCCGGTCTAGGTAGGGTTAAGTTAGTCCTAGCTGGTCAAAGTTGGCATAGATTCATTTATGCTCTTTTCTCTCTTTATACCACAGGCAGACTTCGGCATGTCCACCCTGAGATGCAGACTACAGCAGGAATTTACTGGCTAGCACGAAACCCAGTCGTGGAAGGATTTGGGGTGTGCATTCATGTTTTTCACGCAAGAAAGTTGAAAAACAAGCACTGCAGCTGAATGCAACAGCATCGTGAAAGCAAAGAAAAAATAATAATAAAAGCAAGACTGACACAAACATGCATACATTGTGTGTTACATAGAAAACACACAAGTGAATAAAATTCCTTACACAAAACATCACTATTACATGTATCACACAGGTAAGTTATAAAAAAACGACCAGCATCATATAATTGAAACTAAAAACATAATTGAAGCATTATAAGCTTGAATGTCGCTCCTTGTTCTTTCTTATGAGCAAGAAAATTTGTTCTCTCTTGATAGGAGAAAACATATTTGAAATATCAATAAAGATAATCATTAATATTCTGTGTGCAAAAAGGCACAGTTTGCCCGAAAAGGTGCTTTTTGCATGCATGGTAACATAGGCCTTTCCTGCTGGGTCCGAAGACATAAGGCCGGAGGCTACCTCAAAACCAATTCCCCAGGGAATGCATTCGTAAAATTTTCTAAATTCTTTCAGCTTGATCGTAATATACTGTAAAAATGCCTCCGCCCCTGAGGCGTCGCCAAAAAAAACTCCCACAAAAGAGAACCAAATAACATTTCCCAGATACCATCAGTTATATTTTTCATCAAAATATTTGTAGATTAGGACTTAAGCTCAGTTTGGGAATGATAAGGATGCTTTGTTTTCTGGATCTGCAAATTGCATAGAAAATAGGTGAGTAACCATAGTGTTGCACGCATGTTTGTAATGTAATATAAAGTAATGTAGTGTAAGTTTATTCATCCAAGTGAAGTAACGTTAGTTGCTTCCAGTGAAGACATAGTAGATCCGCAGTGATTATTTGTTCTTCAGTGTTTTAGATTTGTAACGAGTAATCAACACCAAGAATGCGAGGTTGCTTTATGACATGTAGGTTCTAACTTTTGTGAATGACCAAATGTTGATTCACAGTAATATTTTTACATTCTTTTGCGTATTGTACAATACTTTGATTTGCAATAAACTAGATGGCTATACAATGTCTTTGTGTGCTCTCACATTTTTACATTTCATGGAAAATTTAGTTAAAAGGAGACAGCCTTGCCTTTCTATTTGTAAGCGAAGTTAAGAAGTCTTATTAAGCATTTCTTCAGATACTGAAATGTACAAATGCTGTAATGTGCCCAAAACACGACCTGACAGCATTTTAGTGTTGTACTGCAATTGTAGCCATTCTCTTTAACGTAATACAAATCTGTGAATCTTACTCTTATACATCAATGTCCTATTTTATGTCATTCTGGGACGTTGTAGTTACCACTATGAAGAATGCTACAACCATCATAGTAATACAATCCAAGCAGTCTATTATTACATGTCATTCGAGAAAGCCAAACAGGTGCAATGGCATCGTACATGTTGTATTCTGTTCAGGTAAGTAATCATATAAATTCCAGTTACACATAACAGCAGCAGTAGTTCTTGTTGACTGTCATTGTTGTTGTTGGACCCCCCCCCCCCTGGTGCTGTTGTGCGCCTATTATATCACGTTGTTCTGTCTGTGGTGACGTGATAGTTCTCTACAACACAGGCCACATAGATCTTCAGTCCTGTGTCACTGGTACCAGCCTGGTCGCCACGTCTACCTGTCGCCACAGACTCTGAAGGGTTTAAGATAAAAACACGACTTAGTAGCAGTATTAACCTGTACATTAAGAGTTATCATCTGGCGATGTGTGGTAAAAGTAATGGGAACAATGGGTCTTAAACTTGAACTTACACTTGATGAAATGGCTTCAAACCATCTGTGTAATGCTTTTACATTTCATATCACCAAACAGAAGCTCTAGTCCTAGAAATATTATAGATTTAGCCTGCGTCAAAACAAAATGCGTACCTTTGTCGCCTGTTACATGGTAGGTCCGGTTGACACAACCCCAATAGATTGTACGTCCACCATTACGGTGCTCGGGTTCGTCCACCTGTGTGGGAGGGGGTTGAGATTCGTCCTCTGAAATAGAATTCGGTGACATGTTAATGCTGGCTTATAACTTCGACAAAAACATCGGTGTACGAGCAAGACAACATGCATTCTTCATTGTTGACATCCTGACCTCTCTAGAATGAAATCTTACGTTTTGCACTGACCACCTCAGTGGTAACTCTACCTGCTGCCTATTGTGGGGCACAAAGGTCTTTATTTACGCAGTAAAGCATTCAGTACGGCTACAGGTTATTGTCGTACAACAGTCAGCCGCGGAAGCTATGGCTTGTACCAAGCATGCCCTTAAGTTTTTTCTCGCTTATTACCTATCTTAGCTTTGGTAGTTTTTATATCAGACGTTAACATACACAGTAGTTTCACGTAGTTTGTTAAGGCACTAAATGTTGTGGCAATTACTTGATTGTAACACGAATGCACAGTAAGCACTCAGTCATTCAGACTCAAATGAAACATGCCTTATTGAGTATTTACGTACAACAGACAGCCATGGAGCCAATGGATTGTACTTAGCGCGACGAACCTGATGTCAGGCAAGCTTTTCACCTGTTCCGTTTTATGGTCATTGTTGGTCAATTTCATATGAGAGTTACATACACAGAGTACTTTAAATTTACGGATTTTCTTATTAGTTGAACATTGTGGTCATTACTTATTCCTGACACAAATGAACAGTGAACACACGACTTAAGACGACCTTGTCAAAACTGAAGATCGTGCACTCAAGTGAATGCAATGGCTTCATACGTCTTCTTGAAGATATAATCATACCTACATGTTACTGTATATTTTTTAATGTGAGGAACGTCTATATGACATGTTAACATTGACCGGTTAACATGTAATAGTTGAAAACGATTCTGCTCTTCCGATATTATCGGTCAAGCTTTGAAAAAATGAGTCGCATGACAAAAACATTTCAGGCAGCAATATTTAGATGGAGGCAAAGACTCCAGTTTGTAATAATCACAAGTAAATGATCCCTGGAATCCTTATGACGGGTAGTGAAATTCTACCACTGTCCCCGGGATTGCAACTCGAAGAAGAGGTGTACGTGTAGACATGTGCATAGAAAACAAACTTACCAGTCTTAGGCTTGGTGTTCAGCCTCTTGTAGTTTTTATAAATGTCCCAGAGCTATATCCCGAGTCGAATGATTCGCAAAAAACTCATGTTGTAGCTTACTACCGTACCCGCTCCTTGCCCCGATAAATATTAAGGTACTAGTTGTACTGTGACTAGTATTGTGACGGAAGGTGATTGGAGTAACTTTTGTCAGGCAACACGAGTATACCTGAGTTTTAGACCTTGTGGGCGGAGTTAGGGGAGTCTATCATGCAGGGGTACATGCAATCATATTGTTGTGGATCCAGGCATTTGGAAAAGGTTTTCAAATACATTTGTCATTAAAGCTATTATAAAAACAGTCATAAAATTGAAATTAATGAACAAATCATAATGTGCGTCTCAGGATTAAGTCATTTATATCCATCCAACGTTTAGCCACCCTTCCCGACGAAAGTGGTACGACCGT